TGTCAGATATCCAAATCAGCCTTGGTGTAGAGTCACTTCTTTTCCATGTAAAGAAGTCACACCTGCAATGGTTTGGATATGTTTTGCGAATGCTTTTAGAAGAAAGGCGAAATTATCACTATTTCCCTGAAATACGATTTCCAGAGCGGCAAGGTGTCGATGAATTTAGTTACTAAGTTCATTATGCTAAAGAATCCTAATCCTGAATCCGCCCAACAGCAGAGCGCAATCTTCTGTGAGAACAGGTTTTAAACACAGAAAATGAACCAAATTCTTTACCGTTTTCTACTTGCATGCGCCACATGTTCTTTCAGTCAAATCATGTTTAAATAAACATAACGCGTTTGATTCGACTGTACAACAGTTTTGATTTGTGATACCATTTTTTTATGAATTGACATCACCATCCGTGGCAGCAAAGACAAAATTCTGTCATTTACTTCATTCCTCACACGATCCTCGGACAGGAGTAGCCACAAAAAACATCAGGTACCGCAAGTTTAGTATCATTTTGTTGGTCCCCTGAGATCTGATACAGTTCCTGAATTAAGACAACGATTTATTTGATAGGGATGAAATTTTCTTGATCATTCCAATCAGGTATAATCTTATTAAGCTTCTTCGTATCTATCCGACCGAAGTTATCCTGCATCAGGTTCATTAGTAATAAACAGAAACATCAATTAATGTCTTACCAACTGACTGAATTTAGACAACGGTATTCCGATAGCATCGGCCAAGGATTTGGACGGAAACAGTACTTCCAAACAAGTGTTGATAAAGCATAGAAAATCATTTACGAAAACTATGCCGAAATTAAGCAAGTCCCTTTTGGCGTCTTCTGCCTGATAGTTGCGATCGTTCCTAAAAATTAACAAGATACACTGAGTGTAGTTTAGATATATATAGTAAAACTTCAAATATACTGATCCATTAAGCTAGCACTGTATGAACTACATTGGCTTGTGGTGATTTAACAACAAGGCATGCTGCGAAGCTGTCGTTGTTCAGGTATAAAGGAATATTGTACAGTACAATGATACTGAAAGCATTAGTGAAAAAAAACATTAAAGTAGTGGTTGAAAAGCATTGTTAAATATCTAAAGCAGCCCCTAATGGGTGGCCAACTTAGCCAATGGTCGCGGTAACAAATTTTGGAACAAATTCAAGTCATGATATTAAAATAAAGATGTATCGCATTGAAACGGCATAAATGCAGAGTGTAAAGAAAGAAAATGCATTTCTCACGTTATTTCAACTGCATGATTGCACCGTCTTTTTTCTAGATGCGTAGGGGACCATTTAAGCATGCCTCGGCTCCAAAGTATTTAAGCCTTTTCAGTGCAGGGGAAGCAAAACCACGTCGCCTACTTGGGTTGAACAAAAAAATGTTCAAGCCCAAACGCCATGATCAGAAGGCGAAAACATAAGTCCGATGCTCGTAAGCCAAATTCAGTTGGTGAAAAATATTGATGAGGTGACTTACTCTAGCTTTTCATTCAAACATGTGAGAACTGAGCAAAACGCTTCTTCCAAAATCGAGCTGATCTGACACGCGAGTTTCAGAGGCAAACAGTTCCTCACTTTGTTTAGGGCCTGCAAGACTTCATTGCAATATACCGCCAGTTCAGTGTACTTCAAAAGGATGGAAGGTGGCTGTGAAACGGCTGCAGCCGCGGAGGCGGCGGGATCTTCAGGCGCCGTGCTTCTGGCGGCTGCAGCATCTGCGTAGTCATTGTTGGCAATGAACGTCTTCGAGAACTTCATCTTTTCCTTCAGCCTAAATGTATGGTGTGTCAGTGTGTGCTTTTCAAGGGCTACGGTCAGTAAGTACTTTGAACTGGCGATTTCGACGCGACTTTGGACTGCCCTCAGAACGACATTTTCAAACACAGGGACCATGAGCAGCCGAAAATCAGCCCCGATTCTGCCCATCGAAAGGCCAAAATACATGCACTGCGAGAGAACAGAGTCGAGATTTTCCAACACGCGATCGTCATTCAAGTAATCGATCAAGCTTTTTAAGAAACGGTTGATCTTGTCTAGTATCCAAGATCCAAGGATTGCCGAAAGCACCACGTTCGCGTGCTTCTTAGTCAGAGACGTCATTGTTATGAATACGGGGTCCTCGTCCGGAAAGACTGCTCGGTACTGCGTAACTACGTCGAACAGGTGTAGCCTGTGCACCTCCACCATTTGACACACACTAGCCAGAGAGTCGGTTGGTTTCTCCGCGTTCAGCATAGACTGAAACCAGACGTCACGTGCCTATAAAAATGTCGAAAGGCATTTTTAAGAGAAAAATGAGAAGACAACAATATTACATGCAAAAATTTGAACCGCAACTCTGCCTCTGAATATACTCCCAATCTCCGCAGAAAACTCACGACTTTCAGACAGGCGGCGACCGTCAAGTCCGATTCCATCTGACCAAGGCAATAGTCCAGTATGGCGTCGCGTTGAAGCCCCACTTCGGTCATCACCTCCTAAAAACAAGCTTTCACTACAATCTGAAGTGAAACATCGTTGCTTCTGTTCCCGTTGGGCTTCTGAAAATAACACACTGTCTAATACCTTGAATATCTGTAGATGACCCAACTGCTTCTCCAACTCGGTCACGTTTTGAATCAGCTCCAAGGCATCTTCGTAACGGCCAGCGTAAACACAAGAACTAAGTGCCTTTGGAATATTCAGGATCGATCTGATGGTGGACTTTGACTCACTGGTGATTATGGCATTGTCCTGCTTGATCTTGCTGACCAAGTCGCGACCTTCGGTGATAAACGTTCTGCAGCTTTCTTTCAGCTGAGGAAAACAGCCCAGCAAGCTATCGGTATAGTCGCAAACTGTATTGAACTAAAAACAGGCATTTGTCATCTTAGATTCAGCTTAAACTGACTGTCAAGTAACTTGAAGCACGTGAAGAATACCGACGTAAGATATGTTTATTAACAGTACAATGAGTCCAGCTTTTCACAATTAATCTCCCCTGCTAATTTCCAGTCATCATTTGGATCAAAACGAACTGTCGCCGTAATCCGCATGCATCAGGTGGCAGAGCCGTATGTTTCACATTTTCACATCAGAAAACCATGTTGTCCACATTATACTAGCAGGTCGACGACTTTACCCGTTTCTCGGCTGGTTGAGTCAAAGCATAATGGAGTGAATCGCTTGCTTAAGAAAACATGCAATTAAATGAGAAACTTTTACTCCGCACTGGAGCTAGAATCCGGGATTGCTACAGGGAAAGAAAACTGCTTATCCACTGCATCGCTTCACTTTATGTGAACACCCACAATGCATAGATAAATACTATAAAGCATTACTGAGCAGAGCTGAAGAACAGCGCTTTAATCAACTAACAGAAGCAACTGCTCAAGAAAATACATATGTGGCATTGGAGTAATGTATCTTTTAACCTAAAAGTATCTTTATTACTCCACTTCTTATTCTACATATATCGAATAAAGTCGTGCTTACCCCTTAGCCCTTTCATGCCATGTCAGTACTAACGAAATCTTTCCATCTGATTAAAAGTCTTCCTCGCCATTTAACGTCTGGTACTCGACTTGCAAGTTGGCTATCGTCCATTCGTTGGCAATGGCTCCAATACCTTGAACGCCTTCTTTGCGGCCAGTCGGTCACCTTGGATATTCTAAACTCTCACTCAGAAGAGTATCTGACACCAGTTCGTGCCACTTCACTCTTGATATTGATCTCAAAATTTCCATTTCTGTCCGGTTTCCTGATTTCAGTTCTGCTAAGCCCTGTATATCCAAATATTTGAAGCTTGAGAGATTGAATAACTCCTTACAAATGCAAACGCACAGCGCGTCTTAAATTCGTTTGGCACTCGTCCGTCAACAGCGGATATGCCCCCC